TGGCCTCTCTTTCTGTCCCCTGCTCCCGCCTCTCACTCCTCCTCCCTCCCAACCTTTGTTCTCCAGCTACTTTACCTTCGGCTACTGCCCTGTCTCTCTCACACCTGAAGAAGGCTCCACGGCCGAAACGTTGTGTTCTCTTTCTTCTTTTTTTCAGCATGGAATAAACCTATTACTTGTTCCTATATGTATTATTATCATTGTTGTGGTTCATAGTGCAGGGGTGTTCCTTATTTGAAATGGTCAGAGCCTTATTTATGAGCTGAGAAGAGTACCGGCTGGTTTGTCTTTTGATCTTTGAAGTTAACAAATTATTCAGATGGTAGTGGAGTTTTGGTTACAATCGGGTGAGCATATACAGATTAAATGTAAAATCTTTTTATGAGATTATTCTAGCTAAAATAAATACTGGGCCAAGAGCAGTGCTTTGCTTGTAGAGCACTGGAAAGGCTGTCTTACTCCTACCTGGGAGTTTAAATTAGTGATGAGACCTTTGTGCTAAAGAACTGGGATGGAATGGAGAAGATGAGGGACTGATTGCAGAGTTGAGTGTCAATGATATAACTTATTGGCATCTACTCTGTGAGAGTCTTGTTTAATACTTCTAAATAATCCACAGATTATAGTTCAGTGATTCCAACCCATATTTCTTGGTTTATTCTGGAGTGGGCTATGCCAATTGAGTCAGAGTGCACTTTATTTACCTGTGTGTGAAGTAGAACAGAGAAAGAATTTTGTGTGCTGGTTATTTGGAGAACCCTTTATTGCTCTGTCCTGGACTGGTGAAGAATCTTAGTGTCTTCCTCTATTTTTGTAGACGTACTGGTGAGGTCTGAAGTAGTAAGCAGAGGATAAGATATTGTATAGATTGTGTGAAGGACTGACATTGTCACCGGTCTATACCAGATACTTCCTAGAGTAAATGTTCAGAGATGGGATTATTATAGACACCCCAGCATTGCCAAAAAGATAATTAATCAAAAATTACAGTGGAGAATTTCACACACCATTGTTGCTGTAAATCCTTTTATGTGTATTATTAATTCAAGTGTTACAGATGGGTGCCCTTTCTGTGGTATTTTCTCTATGGTGGAAGACTAAGAACTCTTTGTGATGTGATGTTTTTTAAGGAAACTAATTTATGTTTAGTTTTAGATGTTTGCAGTCACATGAATATAGTTTTCTGATATTTGTATTGCTATTATTGGTCTACCCAAAATAACTGGTCATAATAAAGTGCCTGTGACTGTTAATTGCTGAATATTCATCACAATGAGGTTATACAGTACAATCTACAAAATAGTAGAAAACCCATATCTGTGTCTTGCAGGTATCCGTTGTTCATTACACTGTCCTATAGAGAAAACCACACAGGATAGCTTGTCAACTTCCTGACCAGAACATCCCCACATGTAGGCTACATCTTCTAAATGAAGGCACCATTCTGAGCTACACTGAATGTACAGAGTTGAAGTGATCTAGCATGGTTCACCTTGAGTGATAGGAGAGGGTGAGAGAGATAAAGAATGTATATCATCTTGAAGATTCAACTTTTCAGCCACGGTGGTTTTGTTTATCCAAATAAATGCTCCCATCCCTCATTAAACGAGCATTTTACTTAGGAGTAAAAGCAATGCATATGTAGACATTCTCATAAAAGTATTTTCCTATGCTAATATAAAGGAGTAGCTTCCATTTTTATTTTACATTCCTCTTGGCTGTTATCATCTTAACTACAGTATCTTAACAGAAATTATAAGAGTAATACTCCTAGTTATGATACAGGAAAATATTTTGAATGCTTATTTAATAATTAACTTGATGATGATATTATCCGGTCAGTCGGATCCAACTCTCGGCGATTCTATAAGCCATCTCTCTCCACGCTTTCCGGTCTTGGACTTTCTCTTTCAGCTGTTCCATGCCTAAGCCAGTGTCTGTTTTCATAAAATTAATAATTAAATTATTAATGAATAAATAATTTGTGGAATGACCTTCCTCAGACTTTACGAGAGACAACTTTTGTAACTCTCTGTAAATCTAAACTTAAAACTTACCTCTTTGTGTGTTATTTGATTATGAAACAAACAAAAGAAAACAAACAAAAACAAATTATGAAATGTGTTATTTTGATTGGACATACTGTACTATGAATTCGTGATATACATAACACTACTAGATAAGACAACTTGATGCTTGATCTTACTTTTAAATGTAAAGGTTTTGTCTTTGACTGCACTAGATTTATTGAATAACACTACATTACTACAGTTCTGTGTATTATACTTAGTCTGGGGCTCGGAGTACCTGGTCCCGTTAAGGTTTTCAGGGTTGAAGTAGAGCCAGTGGGTGCAAGACAGGACACACTCAGAACACCAGTCCATTGCAGGGCACACACAGAGACACAAACACACATACTCACACCAGAGACAATTTTTCTAGAAACCAATTAACTTACCAGTATGTCCTTCGACTATGCGAGGCAACCAGTTCACCAGGTAAAAACCCACAGGAACACATAGAAAACATGCAAACTCCACACATAAAGCACGCCAAAACTGAACCCAGGACTCAATGCTAACCACTGCACCACCATACCACCCCCAACCAACATAAAGACCAATACTGTATATATATAACACAAGATTCTGCTCTGTATACACTTCTGTAACTCTGTGACGTAAATCCTATACATTTTTTACAATGAATGTAGTGGTTTTACACCAGTTCAGAGTTATAATTCTATGTGTCTCTATCACAAATACTAGTACAGTATATGTACCCCTTATTGAGTCTTGTGATTATTTAAATCAATAAGTGTAAATGTATTAACAAATTAATTTCATTTTTATTTATAAAACTGAATACACAGTCTCAGATATAATTGTTTTATTCACTAATAACTTCTTGGCTCATAACTGCTAACTGGGTATTGATATGCACTTAGCAATGATTGTCATTCCATAGAAATCTGTTGCTTGAAAATGGTGCTGTGGTATAGCTAAGTCTAAATGCCAAAACATACGGTATATGAAGCAAAGTATAATTTAAACTTCACTGCACATGAATGGCTTAAACAGATTCTAAATCCGGAAGAAATACATCATGTGAACATAATAATAAAACCTCCAAGCAATATATGAATATTGATTAGTTAGTTGGCCTGCCATTTGCTTTCCACGAAGCTGGAGTCCTTGAAATACTGTTATGCATGTTTTGAAGTGTTTCTAGTAGAGCATTGAACCATTCTTCAATTCCTCCAGTTCAGTAAGGGATGAAGCAAGTGGAAATCTACTCTGCATCATGTGTTCTAGAACTTCCCATAAAGTTTAATGCTATTTTGATCTGTTAACTGGGGAGGCCATGGAAGGTGGTCGACTTCCTCCTGGCATTCATGAAATCATCTTTGAAGGCTTTTTAGCACTGTATATAGAGGCATTATTATCTTGAAACTTTGGACACATCTTGAGGAAACAGCGTATGATGAGGAAAGGAGTCATCTCCCTGCTCTTCAAGGAGGGAGATGCGGCCAACCTCAAAACCTGGAGGTCTGTAACGGTGCTCTGCATGGACACCAGCTGGAACCTCCAGCTCACTCAAGACGCCATCTTCGAGACGACAGGCACTGAACCAGTGGTAAGACCTGGGAGGCTTAGAGGGACTTTATTCCTCAAATCCAGCTTTAACAACCACTAGTAATATGGAAAGGTTGATAATGAACAATCACCACTTTGAGACCTTTTTAACTTCTGAATTGTGGTAATTGTAATGCATAAATTGTATTGTATTGCTAGTATTGTATTATTTGTTAGAAGTGTAATAAATTATATTTTAACTCACCAATAGTATTGGGCTGTAGTAGAATACTGTCAACAGCATAAATATCTTGCACCTTACAGTAAATAGCTCATTTATAAATTAGCAATTAGCATTTCGTGAATAACAGTTTAATCTACAGTTAATCTACTTCACTTTATTTAAGAAAGTGTATAGAAAATGAATTCATTATTGCAATAATCATTATGCATTGTGCATTGTGAAGCAATCTTTCCACCTGTAGTTCTTTAGAAGCAATATATTTTTTTCTATTGCTTCTGAAGAAACAATTACAAAATTCAGAAGCATTTCCATAATTTTTACAAAATTACGAAAACAATAGGAGGCAAGGAAATACTATTTGAAAGGTACATTTGTTAAAATGCTGAATCTGACCTTGCTGGGGTAACCTGTTCTTTGTACCTAATAACCTAAAGTACGCATGCTCTCGGAGAGCAGCAAACTGTAGCGTCTTGTCACCATAGAAACAGCTCTGCAATTTCCAGGAAGTCATGCGGGACTCTGCTGGGATAGAAGAACATTTTTGTTTTTTAAAATGGTACTTGAAAATGGTGGTAAATTATAAAATATGAATAAGAAATTGATATGGAAACTGACTCTTAAGATTTCATTAGATGTGGTGCATAAGAAGTGGTTTAGTTTACACTTTTAAATATCGATGAAAGGTCCAAAGCGGCAAACCGAAATTCACGCGTAAAACTAGATAACATTTATGAAATCAACCACTTGATAAATTGTCTGATACGGTTTTCGTATTTCGTACATTGAAGCTAATAAATCCTCGTAATACTTTACTATTTAATTGAAAGGGAAATGTGTTATCTTTGAACTTATTTTTTCTGCAATATTTAAAGTAGTCGCCTATTTGGAGGCATTACAGGCTAGCTGGACAGTAATCTTACATTATCTTTACAATTAATGCAGTAAAAGAGATTCAGTTAGTACAGTTGGAGGAAGAATTCCATCACTAATCGAAGATCATTATTAAGTTAGTTCTTATGTAGAAACAGCCAATCCAGTGACCCGCGTGACCTGTTTTGCTACCGTGGTACAGTAAAAACAAAGTAACAAATGAAAAGCCAAAAACTACGTTAAATGTGATGGAAAACAGCAAATTTATAAGTTGTGAATTGTAACTTTTGTTGCACTGCTGTTTTTATCGATCACTTTCCTATTTTCCTAGCATTCTTTTAAAAAATAAGTTTCCTATGGTACATCATCTATGAGGATAGAAGCTCTTTTATCACATCAAATCAGTCTGATGGAAGATTACAGGTAGAGGCAATTGTAAAATGTAACTAGAAAGCATGACACAGGGACACCAAGGTAAAAAGAAAATAGCTGAATGGAATTATACATGGCAAGGGGAAACAGCCAGGATCCCAAGCTTACTAAGCTAAGTTTTGATGGCCTATGCGCATCTCGTTGGTGTTACATTATAAAACATGGTTTTGCAGCAGAAAATGTTTGTTGTATAGTATATACTTTTTTAAAATAATATAAAATGTATATGCTATATAAATGGAGGCAAATACAGTATTAATAACTGATGTATCAGGTCTGACACTATTAAAGACTATATCTCCTTTGATTTTTTTTTCAGGTTATAAATCATAGCAATAAAAAACATAAGAATTTAAAGAAAATCCCAGCAAATCCCACCTCTTCATCTTCTTACTTTTCAGTGGTAAAGCAATGCTTCCAAGCATGTTCAAAAATGAATACCAGGTAAGACTGACTTATTTTTAACCATTGTTTGTATCCGCTACCAATATAGCTTATCTTTATTTACATTATTCAGCATTTGACCTATGTTTGTTAAATAATATTTGTTTCCCATTGCTTTAATTAGGCTTATCAAAAGGGATGGCATACTGGTTTGTTGTAATCATTTAGAAAAATGTAAGAAACAATGTTAATATGTGAACTGCTCCAGAGCACATCAAGGTGCTGTTTGTCTAGTCCCTTATTTTCTAATATTATTTCTAATATGATGAGAAAATATTCTAATGCTCACCTATAAGGCTCTGCATGGGTTGGCACCTCAGTACCTGTCTGAACTATTATCACCCTATTCCCCACCTTGCAACTTTCGCTCTTCTAATTCTGCTCTCCTTACTGTCCCCCAAGCCCGTCTACATTGTATGGGTGACAGGGCCTTCTCCTGTTATGCCCCCAAGCTCTGGAACTCTCTCCCCAAGGATATCAGAGAGTCACCTTCTCTGATCTCCTTCAAATCCAGACTCAAAACCCTCTTCTTCAGAAAAGCCTTTACTTAACTGGTTCCATTCTTCACCCCTCTGCTTTTCTTAGTACCACCATCCATGTCTCCTCTGTATATTGTAATTGTGTTTTATCTTGTGTATTTATTATTTATTGTTATTGTCATCCTATAAAGCGCTTTGAGAAGCCACCTTTAAAGGTGCTATAAATTAAGTTTATTATTATTTATTATTATAATATAAAAATTCAAATTAGAGCTGCTTTTCTGTGAGAAATTATACTTTCTTAAAACTAGTTCAGTAGATTTACAAAGAAAAAGACTGATCGTAAAAGAAAATGACTAAAGTCTGTTGTAGATCCTTTGAAATACAGTATGTTATATTTCTCAACTGAAGTAACTAAACTGAGTAAAGAAATCATTGTGCAATATTGTCTTTTAACTTTATTTCCTGATTTCATTTAAGGTTCTTTTGGGAGCCATTATTCATGTCACAGTTTTCTATTTTAGATACAACTTGTTTGTTATTTTTTATTAAAGGTGTGTTGCTCCTGTTTCTTTTGATCTTTCATTTATACCAAAAATGTTGTTTTTATTATATAAGCTTGACACATAAAGCAAGAGACTACACACTTGTAAAAATGAGCTGACAGACATATTCTTACACAGTTAAAGGCACTCTCTTGATAACTGCAGTGATTAAAGCTTTTACTGTGATGTAAAGAGGAGTGCTTGAGCTATTATGCATGTTTCACAATGAAAGAAAAAGAGATAGATAGAGACACCTGAAGAAGGCTCCACGGCCGAAACATTGTGTTCTCTTTCTTCTTTTTTTCAGCATGGAATAAACCTATTACTTGTTCCTTTGCAGCCTACGCATGCTGACGCAGCTACCCACCTAAAAAAGAGATAGGTTAGCTAACCCTGTTTGCTTTAAAAAAACATTTGGGAATATACCTGCTTTTAAATGTTTTGATGTTTCAGGGTGGCCCAGTTGTTGACATCTTCAGTGCTCAAGGGAAAGACCCTATGGCAAAATGGAAAGTGTTTGGTAGTCAAGCAGCTATTTGGAAAGTAAGTAGGAAGTATTTCTTTTTATCCTCCCTGAAATTTTAAAATATCAACATTTTATTTTTAATTTGTATTTTTCCTAGGTGTATAACATACATAAGATTTATAAGCATGCAATAGAAATGCAGGGTTACTAGTAGGAATCATTTCTTGGTAAAGACCAAGAATCTTTCAAGACTTCTTATTTAGAAGCCTCATATGGATTTAGGTACTGTATGAGGAGAAATGTAGATTCTATCTGTATTGGTTGTAGTTACTCTAGAATGCATACAGGTGGAATCTACATTTCTCCTACCTTTCTGACTGTAAAAATTTGTTTCACTTAAAAAAAGTATTGATTTTAATTAAGCATATAGTAATACTGTATATAAGTGATTCTTGGCAAAAAGTGGTCATAAAAAACATCTTCTGCTGTTTTATACTTCTAGGAATTTGACAAAGAGGTCAAGAGTTTTGTGTACGTTCTTGAAGGCAGCAGTCAAACAAATAAGATGCAGATGCCTAAAGACAGCAAAATGGCACGTAAGTGTTTGACAAACCCTTTAAAGTATTCAGGTTGATACTTTAATCACAAGAATGAGTGAGCATTTCAGCAGCTTGTTGTTTAATGATGTAACTAAAAGGCTAGACAAACAGATAATCTAAAACATTTTCCCTTGTATTTAATGGCTGTGAATTTTTCTGTGACTCCCCATGTTCCTGCATAAGAAATGTATACATAATAGATTTTTTTTCCATAGCAGATAAGAATTTACTAGGATTTATTTTCAAATAAATGACAGTACTAATGGCCAAAAAAGTAATGTAGTTTTACTTATATTTTATAAAGATAACTTTGTAAAGTAGTGCATCTGTGTTTTTATTTTTATTTTGCAAATCAATGTCTCCAAACTCCAAACAGGTTATTGGTTATTACAAATGTAGCTACTTGCTTTTAGACAGATACATTTCTCCTTTCAGTTTTTACTTCAAACATTTTTAAAAGACTTCAGTTTGTCTGTTGGAGCTAAAAATAATATTTTGAAAGTTGTGCTTTGTAAAATGAAATTCTTGAAGTGCATACGAAACATGTTCACACCATGGTATTCTGGTTATGTTTACTTCCCTTGATATTCTACATTGAAGTAATACTGTATACTACACTTAACCAGAAAACCTTGTTATTCAGCATGAATATGAAACAGTGAATAGTTTAAATTACCTTTGGCCTTATTTTGTACTATTTTGATTAAATTTACCTCCCTGATTATAAATTTGTTAGATAGAATGGCAACTGTTTTCACACAATATAAAAAGTTTAATTTCAATGACAGGAAAGGTAATACACTACAACATTTTTAAAATCTTTTCCAAGGAAGTGATCAATTTATGAAATATTATTCCATTTAAAAAACTAAGACCTTCCCTGAAATCAATTAATGTTGTATCATTTATAATACATCTGATGTGCAGAAGCCATTACAACCACTGCAACAAGCCACATGTATCCATATCCCAAGACTTTTTCGCTCGCTGCAAAACTGAGAGCCCTTCATTTATACATTGATGTGGATGTAAGACAGAGGACTGACTCTAATGTGCCACTAGGTGGCGTTGTATGTTAGTGGTGGTTAACACATGACTTCACATTTGATGGTTCTGCTTCATGTGGGTAGACTTCTCTTTTTGTTTTGTGAAAGGAGGACTGTCATCCACCGACTTTTGGACTTCTTTTAAAAAAATAGCAATAAACCTTTGTTTGGTTAAGCCACAAAATCTGATGTCACTGAATTTAAATTAATCGAGAGACTCAAAGTACAACACAAACTGTAAAAGGTGTGCAGTATCTGGTGATCTAAATATTTAAAATAGTAATTTGTGTAGAAATATGTATGTGTCTGTGTATGTGTGAGTCGATATTTTTATTTGAAAAATGTGTTTTGATTAATTGTTTTTTTGCATCTTCAAACTGGTTTACATCTTCTTGAGTCAGGACCCACATTCAGTTTTCTAATTAACTGTGGGATTAAGTTAAATTTAAGAAAAAAAAGACAGGTTTTTAATTAGACCTGGATTTTCCTCAAAAAGAGTGAAATATATGCATGTGTTTTTTGAGGTTAGTTGGGTTTTTCATTGTTAAATCAGTCACTGTAAAATTTCCATAGCTAGAAGAAACTAGAAGTCAGCTGAGTCCATATTTCCTTTTTCTTCTGTTCTAAAAGCACAAATCTGTCTTATTTCAGTGGAAAAATTTGCTGTTTCAGTAAACAACACAACACTTTTTCAGTGTTCTGCAAGGCAGGAGTGTGTGGGGTCCACAACAACATCTTTATTGCCCATTACATGTTATGCAATTTCAGTTGGCATATTTATAATTTTCTCAAAGATTGTAAAATATATTTGAGATTTATATCCAGTAAAGAAATCCAAGTATTACTATATTGATGGTTTCTTTTATGCTTTTTTATATTTGAAATTAACGTACTGTATATGAAGTAGTTCATCCAAGATAATGTCTTGAGCTCTGTTAAAATATCTTCATGGTGCAATAAAACTAATAACATTTATATCTGTAATTTGAGATTATATGATTACGTTTCTCTCCTTGCTGTGGCTTTGCAGTTTTTGTGTTATTCTCTGGGTAACAATTATCACAAAATAGGAGCCTCTTTTTAAGAAATCGTTTGTTGTGCTACTAATAGGGAACACAATCACAGCATAATGTTTAAAGTGCATAGTGACACATTTCTAGAAACCAAATATTTTAAAACTTCTGCACTTGAGAAACAATTTAATCATAAACACACTTTAGTCTTTTAAGTCATTTTACATGTCTTCAGGGTTTACATTTAATTTCAACATCAAATCAAATAACATTTAGATGTTCATCTTTGCTGAACTTACAATAAAAATATACAGAAGTTCTCTTTTTAACTTTAATTTTAACTCTCTTCATAAATTTACAAGCAAATCTGTACATTATCACTTTAAGTAGACCTTACTTTCTTTTCCAATTTCTAGATTTGTTTCTTCCTTGGAATCTCTTGGAAAATATTTATACTGTGTTTTGTGACTGTTGACTGTTGCCTCACTAGATTTCCTCCTGGGGGTTTAATATTTTAAAGTGTGTACACAGGATCTAATTACAGTTCATTCAGATATACAGTACCAAGCAAATGCTGACCTTCTGTGTCTGTACTTTGGTATGTTTTTATGGTTAAAAAATTATATGAGTCAAGGTACAGTAGTAGTAACAAAATGTAGTTTTATTTTTAGTTTCATTGTTAAAGACATTTCTTTTTCCTCGAAAGTAACAAACATAAGCTTAGTTTACACATTGATTTAAAACTGTGATAATTTCATATGTCTGTGTTTTGAGCTTTTTTAGGATAAACAGAAGGTTGTGACTAAAATTAATTTGAATTTGAATTAATCTAAAGTGTGTAAGGTACTAAACATTTTGAACTGCAATGAAACTTATTTAACAATTAATTTTCTTATTCCAGTTGGACTTACCCAGAGATACCTGATTCTTCAGATGTATGTACCTTTGGGAAATGACTTCACCACAGAATTGATGTAAGAATCTATGCAACTTTCTTAAATGTTTTGTTCAGTGTACAGTAGACACTTGATGAATGGCGTAAGGACTGCAATTTGTTAATTGGTGCAACCAGTTCTTTCCAGAAGTGAGAAATGACTTTGTAGACCCTTTGGAACGAATTAAGCTAATTTATTTTTATTTTTCCAAAACTGGAGTGTTGTGGCATGCCCATAAAGACAGGAGGTACACCAATATTTTTAAATGAAAGCTGTGTAATGACATTTCAATAGTTCTGATCTGAAACTAGGGATTTCTCTGCTGCCCTGTGTCCCTTCTTAGTTTCATATTTGGTTTCATCCCACCATGAAGTGGTTTTCAGGAAGTGGGTTTCTCTCAAATTAAACAGTCTCAGAACAACTGCAAGCTACAGTAAATGTCTCCAAAGCCTGAGAGTTAAATTATCTCGGCATCTTTTTCTGCCTGCTGTTGAAAAGTAAAAAACTGAAAAAACAGAAAATTTAAGAAAATAGCAGACTATTTTGATCACTCTAGCTTTAGCTTCTCATTTTAGAGAAGAGTTCTATTTCACTGGATTTTGGCATTGTTTTAAATGGTGTTTTTTATTCTTATAAATAGAAAGCTACTGTAGAACTGTACATGCCAAGCCTGTTGAAGGAAACATCAGTCTTGTGAAGGTGCAAACTTCAGTGCTTAATTTATTTGTGATGTTTAAAATGCTAACAACCAAAAAGTAATGTGACGCTAGAAAAAGAAATGAGCTCTGAATACTACCTTGCTATGGAACCTATATTCAGGAAATTGTCAACATGATAAGGTCTTTGACTATTAGATTGTCTATATTGCTAAAACAATCCATTTCATGATGCAATTTAGATAATTTAGTATAGTTCATCAAATATATTTGTAAAATTCATATTGAGAAGACTTGCAATGATAACATTTGTTTTGATTATCACTTAAAGATTAAATATGATTCTTAATTTAAATATAAAAAATGTTTTAACAAACAAGACTAAATTAAAATGCTACAGTAGTTTACATCTACTTTTAGCATAAGACATGTTTCCAGGCATTAATTAAGCTTACATTGTAATTGCTGTAGTTTGAATGGTAAACTGCTGTCATACCAGTGCTCAGTGTTGACAGGCCCCTCTACAGAAAAATAGGCAAATAAAATATGATCTAATATGTTGTTGATCTTTGTTTCAATTTAGACAAAAATTAATACAACAGTGACATTATAAAAATATACCTAAAGATATACCAGATGTCTTTGGAGCAGTAGAATAACAATAATGAATTAAAATCTGGGAATATCCGAAAAAGTTATGTGTACGTAAATGAAGAGAATGGGAAAGTTCAGTGATTTTGCAGCAATAATTTGCATAACAAAAAAGCTATTGATAGCTTGTAATTGTTGATATAACGAGAAAAATAAATAAAATGTATTTGAAAAAATATGACAACATTAATATGACCATCTGGAAAGTGGATTCCAGAAATGCCATCAATTCAGCTCTTTCAAGCTAAGCTGCTGCTCCTGCCAGGTTTATGAACTGAAGCATTTATCCGTTTAAAGACATAAGTTATAAATTGTATTTATAAGTATTTATAAAAATATCAGTTTTATTTGCAAAAGCAAAACAAAATCCTTTTGTGAAAAATTAAATTAAAAAATATTTTTAACCATCGGTACCCATCCCAAAATCTAGTTTCAGTTTGTTTTGTGATTCTTTGTATATTGACTGTCAAACGTATCTACTGTATTCCATGCAGCATTTAAGTGTCCAGCCATTCACTTTCAATGGTGTAAATTATACATCATAATTCATGGGATGTTTTATTTCTACTTCCTCTATGTACACTGTTGAGAGAGCAGTGCAGTGGCATTTTCAATATTGTTTTGAGTCTTTTTCAGTGTAATTAGTTTAATGAATTCAGTTGAAAATTAAGTTTTAAAGAAAAAAAGTTTTATGGGCAGACTTTTATCAGTGTCCCATTTACCTTCTTTAAAAAACAATCAGCTTATGCAACAAAATATAAAGCATCATGAAGCATAAAGAAAAACATCTGACTTTTGGGGGTTTTGCTTTACATGTCCTGCATGTTAATTTATATTTATTCCTTTTTTAAGTTTAGGTTAAAACTAGTTTTTCATAGTTAAACACAATTTGCCACAATGTAGTCTTGTGAAAAGCAAATTCACCCCTGTATCTGATGGGTGAACATTACATTTAATGGTAGAATTCATATGTTCAAGTTTTTTTTTGTAATTGTAATTTGATTGATCTGATCAACAACTGAAATAATATTGAACTGTTCATCATCAGCATCAGCCAAACTACAGTAAACTTAAAACACTCTTATTCATTCCTCACAGATGCTTGATATATGTTCAAACATAAGGTTGTACGCATGAAAACAGTACAGTTTTCTGTAAATTTAAGATTTTGACTATAGAAGAATTAACAGAAGAGAGGTGAGTAGCATGGCATGCTGGCACAGACAACACTAGGGCCTTGGGTTCAATTCTTCAATTCTTGTGTGTAGAGTTTGTATGTTCTTCCGTGTTCTTGTAGGTTTCCTCAGGGTACACCGGTTTCCTCACACAGTCCAAAGACATACTGGTAGGTTATTTAGCTTCTGTGAAATTAGCTCTGATGTGAATATGTCCATGTTTGCATCTACAGTACAGTATATGTGACCTGCAGTGGACTGGCCTCTCATCCAGGGTGTACCTTGCCTTGAACCCATTTAATGCCAGGCTCTTTCTTTCCCCATGACCCTGTACTGGAGAAAGCAGTTTAGAAAGTGGATGGATGGACATTAGCATTTTTAATTTAATTATAATTGAGTGTAGAGCTGCATTCAGAAATTAGAGCTGTAATTAACACTACATTTGGATTCAAGGGTGTCCTGATGGACATTATGCAATCATGTCGTTATGTTATAATCTTAAATTCACAAAATGCAGTCTCGTGCACATCGGTGCTTGATTATCAGAAAGTCACACAGTAATTTCAGGTGCTTTTACATACAGTAAGTAGATGTGCCATCAAATGCAGCAGTAGTCAGTCAGTGATCATCAGATAATGACATTAGATATCCAATTGTACAAGTGTTGGGTACAAATTATGATAGAATTTTGTCAGAGGAGACAATGAGAATAACTGAATGTCCAGCTCAGTTACCAACTATTGCAGACCACACAGATCGTTATGGGAGCACGCCGGAGCTATGAGTAGTTCTGATTTGTACTGGATGAGATGAAATCACCTAAAAACTCAAAGTATTTTTTTTTTCTAATTTTGTATTGATGAAAAATCCTTTACTATGGAAATACACATTAAATCTGCAAGGGATACATCTCATTCTCAATCATTTCAACTGGTTGGTCTACACTGTTGAAATATAGCTTTTTTTTCCTACCAGATCGCAACACTGCATCTTTTCAGTTGGCTTGTGTTCTTCTTTACTGACTTTCACAGGCTTTATAGTTTTCCTGCTTTTATCAGGCAGTAAAGTGGAATAAACATTGATCTAATCAGTCAACTGAAAAAAAACCCATAGGTGAGCCCTCAAAAAAAAAAAAAGGTTGTTATTATCAACAGTTATTGTACGGCTTTAATGCAGTAGGACTGTACTTTAGGGCCCAGGGGATGAAATTTGCATGGTGAAACAAAGTGGAATTTACGCATGAAATGCATAGTTTACAACGCTTGATGTTCGGGCATCATATCTTGACTTTAAACTCTTTAAACTCATCATATTTAGACTTTTAAACAGCAGAATTATTTTTTCATTCTAAGGCACCGATATCCCTTGCTTTGTTACAATGATACCTTGGAGAAAAATATTTATCAGATAATTTATTGCTGACATATTGCTGACATGTTGATCCCCTGTAAACATACAAATTTACAAAAAACTGTTACAAAATTATTCAGTTCTTTGTTAAAAGAAAAGATGAACTGACACATTTAATTTTTTTTTAAGTTACCCTTAATTTATAATGATTGCAAAAATATGGAAATTGCTCACATATTATTTAATGTGTTGCTAAAATATATTCATGGAATAATAACAAGCTGATGACAAATGTATTAAGAACCAGTCAAGGTGATACGGTCTGGCAGGTTTAATTTAAAGTTACAGCTGATGAGAAGTGTTTTATCAACACATCATGCTGGAAGAGTATGAGGATTGAATATACAATAAAGGTGTTTTCAGAAAAACTAGATTTTAAGGGCTCAGACATTTCTGCAATTTGAATTTTCTTTTCTTACTTGAATCAAAACAAGTATGAACAAAGGAACATGATGCTATTAAAACAGAAATGTTCTGCCGTCATCAGAAAACGTGTTTTGAAACCAAAACATATTATTAAAAAAGGTAGAGCTTGTTAAACAAAGGAAATGATCCGTTCTCAACACAGTTACCCCATTTGGGTTGTTATGTGATATTGGACACTATTCTGCATCTGCGTCCTTAAACACTAAACAAATAAGATACAGTTGGAAGATGGTCTCATATGCTCATCAGTTAATAAGCGTTATATATTTTTTTTAATCTTTTGGCTTTTGTAGTGAATTAGTAGCATATTTGATTTTTCCAAGGATACAGCAGGGGAACATAAAACTGCAGTTCTGGTATAATCAAAGTATAAAAAAAGGAACTGTGATACAGTTTGATTCTTGGGCACCCTCTTACCGAAATATTTTGGCTTTATCAGCATAAGATAAGCTAATAAAAAATAAGCAATTCACCCTGTGTATGTTTGATGAATTCTGCCTGTTCAGACGTGTTGCTTTATAGATAGAACTAGTTTCAAATTCCATAGCTACTGCTACAACTTTGTTATGAAAAATAATTGATTTTAAAAGATGGTGCTTGAAACAAAACTTTCCTATGTTTTTTTTTTTGTTTTCCCATCACGAATTGATGCATGGTTTAAATTGATCAGATTGATACAGTACACAATATTTTGGATTATTATATTATTATATTATAAAAT